ACTTACTGGATACTAGAATAAAAACAAGGCAGACATTCATTTTCATAATTTTGATTTGATCATTTTGATGTTCCTCATGTTCCTTTTACACAACAATATTATGTACAATATTCTGAACCTGATGTATTCTTCTCATTGTCTTGTTTAACAGCTATCAAAATGAAAGATGACTCTAGTCATTCACAATCCTCTGATGATAGCTGTACAGACTCTTCATCTGAAACTTCTAGATCTGATTCTACCTCAGACACAGATACAGAAAAGAAAAGGAAGAAGAAAAGATGAAGTTCAAGGGCAAAAAATCTAAATGTCTGGCAAAAAGGACAGGAAGTCAAAGAATGCTCCATGGCAAAGAGGTACAATCACAATTTAGTTTCAAAAACACGATGTATGAGTTATATTCACTTTTTGTTGTTGCTGTGTCCCTGAAGTAAAGTTGAACCTATTTTTGAGTATCTATTTGGCACAAACTGAACTCTGCAGAAAATTGCGCTTTAAGGTTATGTGAAATATAGGTTTTGTTAATGAGGAACAAATTCTTGAAAAAATTTAAAATTTAAAAAATGCATTAAAATTATTTTTTTGCTTGTTAGTTTGTTTGTAGACACATACTTCTTTGTATTAGTTGAATTACAGATTATAGACTTCTCAAACTTTGGGTCAGTTACATGCAGATTCATCACAATTTCAATGACAATGTGATCCTCCTTCACCCATAAGTGAAATCTCTAGTGGTTAACTAAAAATGATCAGTGGCCCACTATGAAAACATTTTACCATAATTTACAGCCATTATTAAATAAAATACTAAATATGATCACCCAATAGTTGTATTGCGTTTTGTACTGAACTTCTGTGGCACATACATAATACTCAATTCAACTCAATTCAACACCACAAGTGGAACCGATACTGTGTACATCAGGATCTTACTGTTATGGCATTCTGATGTCATGCTTTATCAGGAGAAAAAATGAGAGCTTATATGCTTATTTTGATCATATGTGTGTGTACTGTGTTGTACAGCATTCTCATTGTGTACAATACTTTTTTTTCATACACCAGATCAAGTGCTGGCATGATGTAAACAGGTTCTTAAGCTGTTCAAAAAAGGACGGACCTTGTCTGCTGCTTTTAATGTGGGTCTGGATCGCAACACTGTGGTGCACAATGCACCAAGAGCTTTTGAGGTAACACTTTCTATAAAACCTGTATTTATTATGCATTATAAGGGTATTCTTAAGGCATTATAATGAATGCATTATTAAAAAAAACCTTATAATATGTTGTATCATCTATAAATCATAACAATTATAATACATTGTGATACTTACGCATTTGTGGTTATAACTTTTAAGAGCAGTGTTTCTCAACCCTGGTCCTGAGCGCCTCCCAACACTGCACATTTTGTATGTCTCCCTTATGCCGAGTTGACACTGCACGATTTTCAAAGACGTCGCTTCACTGTTGGTTTCACATTGCGTGACTATCTGGGGTAGCATTCAGTTGTTGCTGTGTTCACACTGTACGATGGATCGGTGACAGGAGGTTACACACTGCATGACTTCACAATAGGAAGAATCGCCGACAGCTCTGTCGGGTGCAGGGTTGCCAGGTTTTCGCTTCAAAACCCGCCCAATTACTACTCAAAACTAGCCTGAAATTAGCCCAATTGCTTTCGAGGGGGTCCCCCAGTAAAAATCGCATTCGGGGGTAAAATACCAATTTTTTTGGCGGGGTTCTCCTGGTACAATTCACATTCCAGGGCCTAAATATCACGTTATTGGGGTCACTTCAACCTGCTGACATAAAAAACAACCGGCGGCAATCGCGGATTTGGCAACACTGGTCCGCAAACTACATTTCATATAACTCCTCCCCGAACTTCCCGCTGCCCTGTATCTTGGTCTCTCATTGGCTGTAGGTCATCGCCGATGTAGTTTTCAGTCAGAACTCATTTCACACAGCGTGATTGTGAATCGCCAACAGCTCCAGATATTTAGCATGTCAAATATTTCACAGGGCATCGGCAACGTGTCAGCGATTCCCTCAGATCGCGTCTTTGATCATTCACACTGTGTGATTGTCACTTGCGAATTTGTCGGCGATTTCGTAAAAACCTAGCGGCGAGTGAAAAATCAGGCTAAAATCGTGCAGTGTGAACTCGGCATTATCTGACACCCATTTCAGGTCCTGGAGTTTCTTTTAATGAGCTAATGAGTTGAATCAGGTGTGTTTGATTAGGGAGACACGCAAAATGTGCAGTGCTTGGGGGGCGCCCAGGACCAGGGTTGAGAAACACTGTTTAAGAGTATGATTATTTATAACTCACAATTAATTCCATATTAAATCCACTTAATTTATAATGTATTATCTCATATCATGACATTATTTATTTAAGATGTGCACAGTATCTTACTACATCTTGTGAGAGGTTAGGAGTGGTTCAGTGTTTTTGTATGTTTCCTGTGAGAGGTTAATGTTAATTTTGCTGTGAGCTAGTTTAAGCTCAGTTGTAATACTTTTAAATACAAATAATGTAATATTTTTTCTTTTTATATTACATTACATTTGATTTTGATGGTCCCCTTTAGTCTGTTGACTAAAAGCAACTTTGCAACTACATGCCAACTAACTCTCATTTAGAGTATTAGTAGGCTTAGGTTAAAGTTAGGGTTGGTAGAATAAGTTGACGTACTTGCAAAGTTGCTTATAGTCAGTTGAATGTCTGTTGGGGAACCATCAAAATAAAGTGTTAGCAGATATTTATCAGACATACTACTAATACTCTAATGACTGCAAGTTGCAAAGTTACTTATCAACAGTTGTCTAAAGGGTACCATCAAAATAACTATGCTGATATTACAATAAAAATAGTTCAAAGCAAATGTTGTCACGTTTCTGTGACTAGTTGTGTGTGTTTGTTTCAGAGTTGCAGGTGATTTGCTGATGTGCGTGGTTTGCTACTGAACTGGATTATGGCACTTTATAAGGGACTGAGCCAAACAAACATGTCGCACGTTATTGTTTGTTGGTTCCTCTTGAGACTTCTGATGAGCTGCCGGGATGCGAGGGTGACGGAGGATCAAAGTGGACACAGGTTTCACGTCTTCGCGCCCTTATTTTGTTGCAGTTTGGTTATAATCGTGACAATATGTACACATTCATCTGATCTAATATCTGCTTTTATGGATGTTTGAGGAAAAAAATTTATTATTATGATTATTATTTATAAGTGGTCTTTGTCTGCTTTAAGTAAAGTGAAGTTACTTTACTTGGTAACTGGTAACTAGTTGCTTATTAGCATGCACATTACTAGAATATTAGCCATTTATTAGTACTAATTAAGCACATATTAATGCCTTATTCTACATCCCTAATCCTACCCAATACCTAAACTTAACAACTACCTTACTAACTATTAATAAGCAGCAAATTAGGAATTTATTGAGGGGAAAGTCGTAGTTAATAGTGAATAAGTGTTCCCTGTTCTAAAGTGTTACCCTTTACTTAAAGCTTACAAAGACCACTTATAAATAATAAGACCACATTATAAAGCCTTTTGGATGTATTCATGAAGACTTTGCATTTGTCATTTTACAGTAAAAACACAAATAAGATGTACTAAATTATTGTGCAGATCTTAAACAATGGCAAGATATGAGACTTATAATACATTATAAATATGGGAAATATAATTCATTGTAACTTAAATGGATGCAACATGTTTATTGTGTGTTATAAATCATCATACTCTTAATGTCAGGGTCTGGCGTCTGGTGTTCTCCCTCTCACCACCAAAGGTCGCCACTTCCCATCCTCCCGGACTCCGTTACCTTGACTCCACACACCTGTGCACACACTCACTCATGCACAGCTGTTGCCCATCCTGAGGGCTATTTATACGCCTTCCCCACGCCTCTCTGGGCAGATTATTAATTGTTTGTAGTTGTTGTACGAGCTATGATGTGTGGATTGATGCAAGCTCTACGTGGCCGTATTGCATCAGATTCCCTTCCTTGTCTCAAGCCTGTGTCTCAGAGTCTTAGCTCTGTTTGTTTTCTGTTTTGGTTTTTACTTTGTTTTCCCCTGCAGTTAATAAAAGCCTGCATTTGGACCCAGACCCCTGTTTACACGGTGTGTTCCTTTACCGCGCCGTGACACTTAAAAGCTATAACCACAAATAAGTATTATAATACATTAAAACTGTTCTTATGATTATTTATGAGATGATACAACATATTATACGGTTTTTTATAATGCATTATTCATTCATTATAATGCCTTACGAATACCCTTATAATGTATTATAAATACGGGCTTCATAGAAAGTGTTACCGCTTTTTTTTTTTGCAGCACCTTTTCTTTGCAAGAGCCACAACAATCAAACAAAACTAATAGTTTGCAAATTTGTAAATTTATTATTACTGTGTACATATTATAAAGTGTTACCGATGTATCCATTAAAAAGTTATAAGTAACATAAATAAGCACAAATGTCAGGGCAGCATCTTCAAGGCCCAAAAAA